TCACCCCCTGGTAATAGCCTTCGTCCAGCTAGGCCAGCTCCTAAAGGCTCTGCGACCTCCTAAAACAGTACCATCAGCTGGGGAACCATGTGTCTAAACATATGAACTTGTGAAGGGCACACATTTTTAGGTCTGCCATAACAGAACCAAATTCATTGCTGTGGGTTATCTATTAATCTTTGTCTCATGAGTTAGATTTTGTAGGGATATATGGAAATAAAACCTTAGTAAGAAAGAATCTTTTACAGTTAGATGACCTGTTTTCTCAACTCAGGTTATATTTTGATTATAACATTGTTATGTGTGAATCCACATGATTGTAAAAATCAAGGTAATCTGTTGGATGAGGTAATACTTTTTTTGTGTTAGTAGAGTCTTACTACATAGCCCAGGCTAGCCTTGAACTCAGGATCCTGTTGCACATAAGCGGGATGACAGGTATGAACCATCATGCCTGGCCTGCTAGGACTTTTTGGAAACCTGAGGAGATAAGCAGTTGAATAAATCTAAGCAATACTGTTGACTTGTTAAGGTATTAACAAGGCATGCCTTTCTAAGGCATATAGAATAATAACTTATTTGTAAGTGTGTATATATCATAGATATTTTTAGATTTGTCTTTGTATTCCTTAGATTTTTAAAGAAGTAGACCTGTTAACTCTATAAATAATTATAAAGGGAAGGGAAATTCATCACTACAACTGTTTTATTTTTAGTGTCTGCAGAAGCCTAACCTGACCTCAGACACAAAGGACAAGGAGTACAAACCCCATGATATTCCCCAGAGGCAGTCTGTACCACCCTCAGAAACATGTCCTCCAGCCCGCCGAGCAAAGCGAATGAGAGCAGAGGTAAGAACTTGATGGAGTCAATTAGGAGTGCTTGAGTTGTGGTATAATGTCTGCTCCCCTGACATTCTCTCATGTACATGATATGCTCTGTAGTTTTGAGCTTTGTTCATCTCATAAAGGGATACTTTGTACTGTTCACCTTGTACGTTGGTGGTAGGGATGGTGTTGCCCACAAAACACTGCTGGAAAGCTTAGTTTTTACTAATCAAAACTGCAATAATTTGTGTTCTTGTTCTCCCTTCACCCTCAAAGTTAGGTAATATTCATTAGAGATTTAAGGTGGAGTATCTGAAGATGGGGACTTTTTTTTTAAGAACAATTGGGTATTAGGAACATTTATGCCAAGAAGAGGAAAGAATTGGGAAGCATGAAATAGTGCATTAAGTTAAATGATGAAATGAAAGTGGCATGAGAGAAAATCAGGAGAATTGAAAAACTAGTGCGATTATTTGCTTTAGGGCTTTTCTTTTTTTTCTTTCTTTTAATTTTTTTGGTCTTTATGAGACAGGGTCTCCTTGTAGCCCCAGCTGGCCTGGAACTCACTATGTAGACCAGGCTGGCCTTGAACTCACAGAGATCCCCCTGCCTTTGCCTCCCTAGTGCTGGGATTATGGGCACGTGCCACCAGACCCAGTTAGTTTTAGGGCTTTTCTGTTCAGATGGGAAGAATATTTTCTGTTTCCAAACAGAGGTTTAGAGATTTTGGATTTCTATCTAGCTTGGGATAGCATATAAATTCTAGGAAACAGTGCTGAGAAGCCTCATAGGGCAGATCATGCTTCTAAGACAATCCGTGGCAGCTTAATAATCATTGACAGTTGTTTTTCACAGAGGTAAAATTTAGTGACTCCGTTTCTTGATGAAGAAAACTAACCCAAATAGGAAATTATGATTATTTAAAGCCCATAAACTAGTTTAAATTAAGCTCATTTATGTAAAAATTAATTATTTTTGAGAATATGGTTTTGGACTTTGGTGATAGGCTGTTACTATATAACTGAGGCTAGCCTTGAACTTGCTGTGATCCCCTTGCTTCAGCCTCCCAAGTTTGGGACTATAGACATCTTTCACCATGCATGACTTTGGGTTTTGAGGGTTTTTTGTTTTTGTTTTTTGTTTTTTTGTTTTTTTTTTGTCTTTTTGAGATTGGGTCTTCCCGTAGCTTCAGCCGTCCTGGAAATCCCTATGTAGACCAGATTGGCTTCAAACTCACAGAGATCTGCTTGCCTCTGCCTCCCAAGTGCTAAGATTAAGGGCATGAGCCACTGTGCTCCTACTCTATGGGTTTTTTGATCTTTAAATATTTTTGTTATTTTTGTTTTGTATGTATGAGTATATTGCCTGCATGTATGTAAGTGCACCCATGTCATGCAGTGCCAGAAAAGCATGTCAGATTACCCTGGAACTGGAGTTATAGAAGGTTGTTAGCTACCGTGTGGGTGCTGTGAATCAAACCTGGGTCCTCTGCCAGAACGGCTGTGCTCTTAACCACTGAGGCAACTCTCTAGCCCCTTATTCTTGATCTTTATAAATGTAGGACATGAAATGTAGGACATGCCCTTGTGCTATGGATGCCTGGGTCTGCCAGGCAACTAATGTTAATAATAATGCCCACAGAAGAAATTTTGTTATCTGTGGACATAGAGAAAGTGATAAATAGTTCTGCAAATACTTGACTGTTACCACAAAAGTGATTTTGTTCTACTAATATATATCAGCATTCTGAGAAGCAGTAGAAACAGACTGGATTACATAAATACCCTTAACGAGGAAGTAGTCTTTTAACAGTTATGTTAGAGGTATCATTTATGATAATGGTTCATTAAAATAATTTATTGATGAGGAAGGAGAGATGGCTCAGTGGTTAAGAGCACTTAATGCTCTTGTAGAGAACCTAATTTCATTTTCTAGCACCCTCCTCAGGCAGCTAACAACAGCCTATAACCTTAACTCCAGGGAATTTGCTACCCTCTTCTGCCTCTGAAGATACTCACGCACATGTGGGCACACACATAAATAAAAATAAAAAATCTTTGCCCCCCCCCCCCAAGACAAGGTCTCACCTTTTATAACTCTGGCTGGCTGAAACTTACTATGTAGACCAGGTTGGCCTTGAACTCAGAGATATCCACCTTTCTCTGCCTTCCACGTGCTGGGATTAAAGTGCCAAGACAGTCAGCAAAATAAATCTTAAAAATAAGAAAAAAAGGAATTCATTGAAGATCATGGAAGCTAGATTTTCCACAAATACAAGTAGACCTTTGAGGAGGTAAGAAAAATCTTAGACACTAATGAAATTTGTAATACCTCTATCTATCAATTTTTTTTTTTTTTTTGGTCATTTTGAGACAGGGTCTCCCTGTAGCCCCAGCTGTCCTGGAACTCACTATGTAGACCAGGCTGGCCTTGAACTCAGAGAGTTCCGCCTGCCTCTGCTGGGATTAAAGGCGTGCGCCACCAGGATTTTTAATAAATAAAGCATTAAAAGTAGAGGAGAATTGAGAAGCTTCTAGAGAAAAATAAAGGTTATTTCCATTTCGGGTAGTGGTTTTCCTCATAATTTGATTTCTTCAGTCCTCTGATTTTTTTTCCCCTGTTTTTTTTTTTTGACTATAGTAGACAGTATGCATCTAATTTGTGTATAAGAGTAATTTCAAAAAATGCAATCTCTCCTAGGAGGGAGAACCAAGGTATCTTCTGAACTTACAATTAAAAATACCTATAAGAAAATATTTATATGTACAATAATTTTTTAGGCCATGAATATTAAAATAGAACCAGAAGAGCCAGCAGAAGCCAGAACTCATAATCTGAGACGCCGAATGGGTTGTTCAACTCCAAAATGTGAAAATGGTAAGGAAAGTTTACTCTTGAATAAGAAGGCAAAAAGTAAGTAAAAATGATTAGAACAGTTATTGTGTTCTGGTTACTCAGTTGGATTTGAGAAATAAATTTTTAATATGCTACTCTCTTTATTCTTAACAGGCTAGTCAGAGAAAAATATAAATGTGCATATTTGGAATATAGGTGAAATTTCCAACCATAGCTAGATGGGTGGCTGCTTTGAATTTATTTCAGGCAAGGTAGAGAGACATTTTCTAGTCAGGATTTTGTTGATGTTTGTATGGCTGTCACTTGGTTAAAGGCATTGAGAGGGAGGTTCTTTTTCTTTTTTCCCTTTTTCACCTTCCTTTTCTCCCTCCCTGCCTCCTTCTCTTCCTTCTTTCTTTTTTGAGATAGGATCTTGCTATATATTCCTGGTTGCTTCAAACTCTATGTAGACTATATTGGCCTTGAGCTTATACCATGATTCTCCTGCCTCTATCTCCCAAGCGCTGGGATTGTGGGAATGTGCCTCTGTGCCTGGTTAGAAGTAAATTTGTGGTTCATATAAGTGAAGTACTGTATCCTCTTTTTTTTTCTTTTTTGGACAGGGTCTTTCTAGTTCCAGCCTGTCTGGAAGTCACTATATGGACCAGGCTGACCTCGATTTCACAGAGATTCACCTGCCTCTGCCTCCCGAGGGCTGGGATAAAAGGCACCTCTTTGCCCAACATGACAAATACTATATCTTTTTTTAAAGTACTTTATTATTTTTATTTTACATGTATGAATGTATTGCCTTGCATGTATGTGAGTGTACTTGTGCTGTGCAATGCGTGGAGGTCAGAAGAGGGCTTCAGATTCCCCTGGAACTGGAGTTAAGGACGGTTTGTAGCCACCATGTGGGTGCTGGGACTCGAACCCAGGTCTGCTGCAAGAGCAGTCAGTGCTCTTAACCTCTGAGCCATCTCTCCAGCCTCAACAAACACTGTATCTTATATACACATGGGATATGTACAAATGAAGAAATACTAAAATTAGGTCTCCTTAGAGATTAGTGAGTAGGCCATGGCCATACAATGCTGAATCCTGGCCCTTTGTGACCATAGTGACATTTCTTTTAGCATCAATGTTCTTTTGAAATGATAAAATTTATAGAAAGCCTTGTTCAGTGCCTACCACATTCAATAATTGACAGCTAGATTTTAGCCAAAATTATTACCCTTTGGATCCAGGAATTTGGAGACCAGGAAGTTGACCAGAAAATCTTCTTAGAGGATGGAGAGATTATGTATAATATGGAAGAGATCCAGTTGTTGAATTGTTTATATATCAACCTGATAAGAGGAACATGTCTAATTCCTCACCGAATTGTGCTTTAGCTCCCATTTTGAAGACATACACTTGTGAACACCTTGTCCTTACTAATACTCACATGCTAAAATTTAATTGATGTGGAAGTTTGTATTATTAAAATCAGCATTGAGCCCTTGTGTATAGTAACACTGGGTGCTGGTACTAAAATGAAAACAAATACGAATTGTGTTTGTGTATAGTTTATGCTTTGAGAGGAGAGAGAAAGTGATAAGGTGCGGGAGGAAACAGAGATAAGGTTAGTACAGAAAGAACTAACTTTGGATTGCCTCCTGCAGAGAAAGAAATGAAAATTAACATCAAGCAAGAACCCAGTGAGAAGAAAGACTATATTTTAGAAAGTGAGAAAGAAAAACCCAAGAGTCGATCTAAGAAAGCCACCAATGCTGTGAGTTGACATTTCCCCTTCTTTTCCTCCTTCCAGTCCTTCACACCTTCATTTTTAGGGGGCTGTTTGTTTGTTTGTTTGTTTGTTTTAGACAGGATCTCTCCTGTCAGAATTCTCCTAACAGAATTTGTAATTCTCTTGTTTCTCCCGTCTTAGCCTTCTGAGTTGCTGAGATTACAGATGCCCACCCTTCATTCTTTCCTCTCTTTTCTTTGTTGGGGATCATACTCAGAGCCTCATAAAAGTTAGGCAAGCACTGTGACACCAAGCTGCAGCACCAGATCTGGGAAATCAGCAGCATATTTTTTTTAATGGAACCCAGGGTTTCATACATACTTGACAAACACTCTACTACCACTCTTCATCCCTAGCCTGTTTCTTTAAGTTTCTTTACTCATAAGGTTATACTTATATGTGTTACTTAGGATTGGTTAACTTAATGTCCAAAAGATATTTTCAGGCCATTTTAATCAGTTTATAAGTGAGGGAATACCAGATTACATCATGAAATAATAATAATAGCTGGGAAACATGGGCAGTGATTTTTCTGGAGTATGTCTACTTTGGCATTGAATTATCATAAATGATTAACCCACTTGCAGATGAGCTGAAAGGAGATCAGAAATCAAGTTGATGTTTTGCACTTTTTCATCTAGCAAGGGGGGAAAAGCAATGAAAAAGAAGGAAGGAGTTGGAAATTAGTAGGTGGGACCTTGGGAGAATGTGAGAGCTGAAGAGTTTTTACTCCATTGAAACATTGGTTGACATGCTTGTGCCTGCTATCTGTGTTACTATGTCTGTAGTAGCATACAATTTTAATCCTAGCATTCAGGATGCAGAGATAGACGGATCTGAATTTGAGGCCAGCATGGTCTACATAGTGAGTTCCAGGTTAGCCAGGGATATATAATGAGACCCTGTTTTTGTTTGTTTCTTAAAGTGGTGCTGGGTGTGGTGGTACATGCCATTATTCTCAGCACTCAGGAGGCAGAGGCAGATGGATCTCTGTGAGATGAAGACCAGTCTGGTGTACATAATGAGTTCCAGGTCAGCTGGCACTCCAGGGACACCTTGTCTGAAAACACATACACACACACACACACACACACACACGCACACAACAAAAATAGTGATGTTTGTGCTTGATGTCATGGCTCATGCCTGTAATCGTAGTACTCAGAAGACTGAGGTAGGATGGCCACAAGTTCAAAAGTGAGCCAGGGCTATGGAGTTGAGACCTTGTCTCAAAAAACTAAAAGTTGACTCTTGCTACATGAGAAAGGATCAGATCGAACCTCTTCCCTGCCTTCTTATGAGATCCTGACAGCAGTATCTTTTATCTTATTTTCAGCCTATTTTTCTCTCCATAAATATTTCATTACTCCTAACCCACACATGCATGAACATACAATAAGAAAATGGGCAGAGCCCAGATTTTCATTTCTTTCAATAAAAATTGAAACTTCTTGTTAGTTGACCTCTTAGCTTTATGTTAGTATTAGATTTACGGAGAGCTGTAAGTATGGATTGGGAGCTTAAATAACTTGTTTTATATAGTTCTGCAGGCTGTAAAGTCTGAGACTTAAGGTGTTGGTGAGATTGACTGTAGATAACTTGCTTCTCCCTGTGTCTTCACTCATAATTTAGGGGGAAGACAGTTCAGCCTGTATGTAGCTAGTAATAAATATGCTTTATCATTGGGTTATTTGAGGGAAGTCTGAACTTTTGTTTTGTTTGGCATTTTTCCTCCCCCTAAAACAGGGTCTCATGTAGCCCAGGCTGGGTTTATACTTGCTGTTTAGCTAACACTGACCTTGAACTCCAGATTCTTTTCCCCTTCGCTTTCAAGCACTGGGATTACAGGTTTCCACCACCAGCAGCAGAGGGCACTCTTCTCAATTTCATCATTAGAATTCAAAGTGACAGGGTTTGGTTTTGTTTAACTTTTTTTTTAGTTGAGGTCTCACTATGTAGCCCAGGCTACCCTTGAACTCCCAATTCTCCTTCCTTAGCTTCCTAGTGCTGAGATTATAGACATATGCCACTATACCTGTCTCCAGAATATTAGTTTAATACAGTTTATTGCTTGGTTAATAATTTATTACCTATTAAGATTATTGTCAACTACCAAAAATTAGTTTTTTAACCCAAATAAAACATGCAAATTGATAGAGTTTGGAGATCATAGTTCAGAATTGGGGAGTATATGTGATTATGAACAGTTCCTCATAGGAAGGTTTTATAGAAGTTGTAGAAGTTTTTTTTAAATATCTGTGAGCCAGCAAGATGGCACAGCAGGTAAAGGCACTTTCTGCCATGTCTGATGACCTGAGTTTAATCCCTGTCCATATAGAGGAAGGAGAGAACTGATTCCAAAGTTGTCCCCTAATTTCCACACATGTGCTGCGATATGTGTACATGAAAAATAAAATATATAAAAGTTTTTTTTAAATCCCTTATTTGAGGCTGGGCACACGGCTCTCTGGTAGAATGTTTGCCTAGCATGCATGAGGCACTGAGCTTAATCCCCAGAACACATAAACCAGGTGTGGTGCTGCATGCCTGTAATACCAGCACTCAAAGTTGAAGAAAGGAGGATCAGAAGTTAATAGGGTCATCATCATCTAAACAACTTCTAGAACAGCCTGTGCTACATGGAGATCCTGTCAAAATGAAAAAAGAAATTCACAAAATCAATGAATTGACATTCCTTTGTTCTGTATTTGTTTTCATTGCTGTAGGTGGATCTGTATGTCTGCCTCTTATGTGGCAGTGGCAGTGATGAAGACCGGCTCCTCTTGTGTGATGGCTGTGATGACAGTTACCATACCTTTTGCTTGATTCCACCGCTCCATGATGTTCCCAAGGGAGACTGGAGGTGTCCTAAGTGTTTGGCTCAAGTAAGAATTAATGACAGAGAAAGAAAATTTCCTTTAGAATATTTTCCTTTGCCAGTGATTTTTAGATCTGGTAATCAATAATAATGAAGTCCATGAGCAAAAATAGGCTTGGAATTGTAAAGAGGTCTTACAAAGCTCCACAGTGCACATACACAGTTCAGTTAAGAGGCATTTTTCTTTTTTGGTCTTTTTGAGACCGGGTCTCCCTTTAGCTCCAGCTGGCCTGGATTCGCTGTGGAGACCAGACTGGCCTCGAGCTCCCAGAGATCTGCCTGCCTCTGCCTTCCGAGTGCTGGGATTAAAGTTGTGAGCCACCACGCCTAGCCAGAGGCATTTTTCTAAAACAGAGAAACTCATTGTAAAAACTCTTCGTAAGAATTTTTAAACACTGAATACCTTAAAATAGATGATTTCACAGTGCTTAGATAACCATTATCTTGGCATATATTCATCCAGATTTGTTTGGGGGGGTGTCAGTGTGTGTGTGTGTGTGTGTGTGTGTGTGTGTGTGTGTGTAAGTAAAGGCCGGGGGTCAATGTCAGTTATCTTCCTCCAGTTGCTTTCTATCTTTATTTTTTGAGACAGGGTCTCTTGCTGAATCTGAAGCTCTTTGATTCAGCTAGACTGGCTGGCCACAGAGCTTCTCTGTCTCTGTTTACGCACACCCTGCAAATACTTGGGGGCCTGGCTTTTACATGTGTTCACGTAAAAGCTGTGAACTTTTTTCTGTTTTAAACAAATGTAATTATAGTAATTTTAGTAATTTATCATTTTTAGTTTATTATTGTGATTATATTAATAATATGTAAAAGAATTTGTTGTCACCTTTATGAGTATCATTGTAGTAGGAAGTGGTTAGTTAGAATATTTGTGTTAGAATTAGATTATAATAGTAACAAGATTTTCATTATATTGCTTAGATATAAGTGACCCTGGAGTGTTTCTATATAGTCATATTATAACATAAAAATGGTCCCATCAAGGAGAGGTTATTAGATATAGAACAGGGAAAGGGTCCATGGTGCTAGATAAATATTAATATTTAAATGCTTAAATATTTAGTGCATTGATAGGGATGACCTTACAAATGGGTCTGCAGTATCCAAATTCATTGACTCACCATTATCTTGGTCAGTTTATGGTGCCTTGGTTAACCTCTTAGTGTTCTGGTTTTGATGGCATTATTTAGTTGTCATCATTATTTTGATCTATTTTATGTTGATCTTACAGTTTAACTTCATTTTCAGTATTGAAAACATTTGCTCTTGAAGCAAATTAAAATTGAGTATTTAAATCATACCAAGTTGTGGTTGTTAAAATATATTACTTGCTCAGTTGCAAATAAATAAAATTTCTTTTACTCACTAGAACAATTTCATTCTTCAAACAGGTTAATTTTTCTAATGTAGACCTCTTATAGAATTAATAAATTTTTAAACCTTTTAAAAAATTTGTCCTTTTGACTATTGGTCAAATATACTTGGCATTGTTAAGTGTAATCTAGAACTCAAGTTTTCTTTTCTTATGCAGGAATGTAGTAAGCCACAAGAAGCATTTGGCTTTGAGCAAGCAGCCAGGGACTATACTCTTCGTACTTTTGGGGAAATGGCAGATGCGTTCAAATCTGATTATTTCAACATGCCAGTTCATGTATGTACATTTATATTACTTTGATTTAGGATTAAAAACAATTTATTACATGTAGTATATTTGTGTGTGTCATGTGTCTAGGTACTTGTGCCACATAGCACAAGTGGAGGTCAAAGGACAACTTATGGAAGTTGGCTCTCTTCTGCCATGTGAGATTGAACTTAGATCTTCAGGTTTGGCAGCAACCCAAGGGCCTTTGTCCACTGAGCCATCTCACTAGTCCTGATTTTAAATTTTCATTTCTTTAAATTTAAATTTAAGTTTTTGAGATAGGGTCTCACTATATAACCCTAGCTGGCCTAGAGTTCTCTGTGTAGACCAGGCTGGCTTCCAGCTCATAGAGATCCGCCTGCCTCTGCCTCCTGTGTGTGCCACCATACCTTCCTGTTGTGATTTAGGATCTTTAGTAACAATTGGAGACAGATTTGAAAAAAAGGGTTTCACTCTGGCAGCCATTTCGCAGAATGGAACTTTTAATATATTTAGTGGTATTAGAATCCCACAATACTTGGCATCCTGATTTTTCATTTAACTATTTTGCTCTTTAATACAAATTGTATAGCAACAGTAACAGTGTATACCAATAAAGATGACCAACAACAGTTCTTTTAGTCCAACACATGTTATTTAAAGAAAATGTCGCAAATTTTTTTTGAAAGATTACTGTATGGCTGAGCATGGTGGTACATAGCTTTATACTACCACTTGGGAAGGAGAGGCAGGCCAGTCTCTGAGTTCAAGGCCAACCTGATCTGCATAGTGAGACTCTGTCTCAGAAAAAAAAAAAAAATTACTATGTGCCAAGCAATGTACCATGCCTCAGGGACACATTTATTCTATATTTTTGTATAGTGATTAGATTATAAACTACAATAAGATTCCCATTTTTATTTCTTTTTGTGTGTATGTGTGTGTCTGTCTGTCTGTCTTTTTGAGACAGGGTCTTCCTGTAGCCCCAGCTGGCCTGGAACTTGCTATGTAGACCAGGTAGAACTCAGAGAGATCTGCCTGCTTCTACCTCCCAAGTACTAGGATTAAAGGCATGTCACCATGCCCAGCCTAATTTCTTTTTTACTTTTAATATAAGCATGTTTCATAGAACATTTAATAGTCTATCAAATGAATAAGTCAAAATTAAGTGGTTTCTTTAATAAGTCTGGATATTTAAGCTGGTTTTTCTCAGTAGTACTGTATATCTTGATGGTTGGATTAATTTCTTGGGATGATTACTGAAAATTGTTACCCCTGTATGATTACAACAGCACATTATTATTCCTTAATGTCATTAATATTATCTTTTAGTTACTTAAGATATTTTCTTTTTTATGCAGTTAAATGTATATACTATTGGAAATTTTATTTTGATTCCTCATGAATTTTATTGTTTTCCTATTTGTTTGTATAACCCTATTTGTCCAGTGGCTGGCATATGGCCTAAGAGGACTGAACTTTTATTTACCTAAAAGCTGAAGGACAGTAATGGGAAGAGAATGTAGGTTATTTGTCTCTGGACTCAAAACAGATTCTTGACAGTCTGGTGGCTTATAGGACTCGTTGATGTGAAGAAACTGATCTTTGTATTTGTGTGTGTGTATCTGTGTGTGTTTAAAATCATGGCTGTTTACATTATTTTCAGGCAGGTCTAGTCATATAATGTGTTCAGAAGCCTTTATCAACCACATTGGATACTATATTTCTCAAAACACAAAATTAAGTCCTGATTATAAAGAACATCATTTTACTTTCCTTGGCCTCTCTTTACAGATGTGACTGGGTTCATGATAGAGGAACATGAAAAATACTTCTTTTCTCATATTTCTAGATGGTTCCCACAGAGCTGGTAGAGAAAGAATTTTGGCGACTGGTGAGCACTATTGAAGAAGATGTCACAGTGGAATATGGAGCTGATATTGCTTCAAAGGAGTTTGGCAGTGGTTTTCCTGTCCGAGATGGAAAAATCAAACTTTCCCCTGAGGAAGAGGTAGGCTCCAGATACTTTGAGAATGAGAAGGAGCTCTACATTTAAAGCATGTCTTTGATTTAAAGAGCATATTAGTAGATTAATAGTATCCTTACTTTGAATTCCTTGTGTTATTGAAATTTTGTTCGTCAACTTTGAAGTAATTTTGTGATTACTTTCAGCAAATCATTAATTATTGGATTTTTAGTAATTTCAAGAAAAATTGTAAGTTCTCAAAAAAATTCTAGTTCTGAATATGCCACAATGCTGTGGTGATAAGGGGACATTACTTTACTACCACTTTTTCCTCCAGGTTCTATAACCTTGATTTCTCCTTCTAAAGAAAATCTGAGGAGCTGAGAGACCATACTAACTTATCGTTAAATTGTTTAGTGTTTATGAGTTTCTTGCTTTCCATACCAACAAGCTTTTAAGCCTAAGATTTACATTTCTATTTTTGTAGAAAGTCAGATTTAAAGTGTGTATATGCATATAGTATGAATTTTAAATCTAACGTGTACTCAGAGAAGAATATCAGATGTGTATAGCTTGATGAATCCTAACAAATTAAGCACACATAGAACAAGAAACAGGACATTTCCTGGCATGAAGTTTCCACTTTTCCTTGTCCTCTTCATTACTTTACTTTGAGGACAGCCACCATCACCTTACACACTACCCTGACCTCTAACAACATATATTAGTTTGCTACATAAGTGAACTCATATAGTTTATGTTCATATATATATATGGTAGATGTGAAAGTATATATTGTATGAGTCCATTATTTAAAGACCAAACCAGGCACAACTGATCTACACATATCCCAGTGACCAGTGTAAGTGGCTCCTCTACTGCTACCTCTAAGCCATTTTATCTTATTTTGAAGGAGGCTCTTCAGACTGCCTTTTAAAAGAGAACAAGAATTCTAAAGTGTTAGCATGATATAGCTAAAAATTTTAAAATCACTGTAAATTTCATACAGTACATCTTGATCATATTTAAACCCCCTCCATTATCTGAACACTCCCATGCCCCAGCCCCCCAATTCCATTATGTTAAGGCTTAATGGAGTGAAGATGCATTTATATCCTCAAATGTCCCTCAGTGTGAGTCCATCTACTGGAGCCTGGTCAAAAGTTTACCCTCTTTTGTCTTTTCATCTTAGGAGTATCTTGATAGTGGCTGGAATCTGAACAATATGCCAGTGATGGAACAGTCTGTCCTTGCTCATATTACTGCTGACATTTGTGGCATGAAACTCCCTTGGTTGTATGTGGGAATGTGCTTTTCTTCCTTCTGTTGGCATATTGAAGACCACTGGAGCTATTCAATCAACTACCTGCACTGGTGAGAAGTTCCACATAGAGCCTATGAACAGTATGCAAGCTGGGTAGGAAAACTCCCTTCTTCCTCTCAGATATGTCTTGCCTGTGTCTGAAGATAATGGGTGGTTTTATTTTCAGTTCTGTTAGACTAGGTGTCCTATCAATTTAAAACAGTGGTTCACAAAGCTTCCTAGAAAGTCTGTGAATCCTCTGAACTTCCATAATATTTTGCGAGTACAGCATATTTCTAGAGTAGCTTGATGTGAGTGTGTGTGTGTGTTCTCCCTTGTAGCCCCAGCTGACCTGGAACTCACTCTGTAGACCAGGCTGGCCTTGAACTCATAGAGATCTATCTGCCTCTGGTGGGACTTAAAGGCATGTGCCACCATGCCCGACTAGCAGTTTGGTCTTATCTGAAGTAAATAAGTGTTTATCCAGGGGCTGGAGAGATGGCTCAGTGGCTAAGAGCACTGACTATTCTTGCAGAAGACCCGGTTTGGAATCCCAGCACCGGCATGGCAACTAACAGTCATAACTCCAGTTCCTCCAGTTCCAGGGAGATCCAGCATCCTCTTCTGTCCTCCATGGGCACTGCACAGCACAAGGGCACTAATACACATGCAGGAAATATACTCACATAAAATAAAAATAAATAAATCAAATGTGTTTACTCATAGAAAGGTTAGAAAGAAGGCACTGAGTTTTTGCTTTCTTCACTGTGGGAATCTCATTTGGTGCTCATGATAGTTCAGATACCCATTTGGGAAGGAGCAGAATATAGGTATATGATGTCTTCAAGGTCCTCAGAACTGCCAGCCTCATTTTTGTTCTGAATTCTGACATCATAACACTTGGTAGATGGAATGGGCTTCTTTAATATCCTCTCTCATATGTGTGTGTGTGTGTGTGTGTGTGTGTGTGTGTGAGAGAGAGAGAAGAGAGAGAGAGAGAGAGAGAGAGAGAGAGAGAGAGAGGAGGGAAGAGGGAAAGGGAGATGGAGGGGAAGCTGATGCATTCATTTGGACTTCTTTACTATTTAAACTCTTTACCCAAAGCCATTTTTCAAATCCGTTTTCTTCTTTTCCTATTTCTTTTACTTCTGAGCACAAAAATAATTTAAAATCCATAACTCACTCAAATCCTTACTCAAGGAATTGAGCATATACCACAAGAAAGAGGGAATTAGAATAATGTATACAACATCACTTCTGTTTCTTTAGGCAACTGCTCCCAGTTGTAAAATGATGATGATATTTACCCATATTTCACAGGGATGTTACAGATTAACTGGTTGACAATTTAAAATAATTTGAAGAATAAGACCTCTTTAGAAACACTGGTTGCCTTATTAGTGTTTGATCAAATCTCATCTGTCAGAATGGGTAGGGAAAAGGAAGATGAAGGGTTGCCATCCCTTGTCAGCTGCTTTAGGAAACTGTGGTAACTGCATATCCTGTGGGAAATGGGATGCTTTATATTCTTAGAAATTCTATGTGTCTGTATTTTGTAAAGGGTCAGATAAAAGTTGGAGCTGGACCCAGTGTGGTAGTGCACACTTTTAGTCCCAGCACTCAGGAGGCAGAGGCAGGGCAGAACTCTGTGAGATCAAGGCCAAGCCTTGTCTACATAGTGAGTGCCAGCCAGCTGGGCAACAGGGAGACCCTGTCTCAGAAGGACCAAAAAAAAGTGGGAGCTGGGAGAGATAGAAAGTGCTTAAACTTCATATTTGAAGGGGAAAATGCATATGTTTTGCTCTCATTTCTAATGTTCTTTGATTTGAACATTCTGTTATCGTTCAGTTTTACAGAGCAAGGTCTAAAAAAATGTGAACTGGTTTAACAATTTTTCTTGTGTTGCAAATTAATTTATTTTTGTAATCTTTTTCCAGGGGTGAGCCAAAAACCTGGTATGGAGTCCCAGGGTATGCTGCGGAACAGCTAGAAAATGTAATGAAGAAACTAGCTCCAGAGCTCTTTGTGTCCCAGCCAGATCTTCTCCACCAGCTTGTGACCATCATGAACCCCAATACTCTGATGACTCATGAAGTGCCTGTATGTTCTGGTTAATCTTCCTTAAACTTACCACTCCTCTTTCTGTTTTCTTCACTTTCTTTTTTTGGGGGGGCAGGAAGGGTCTTTTTGAGACAGGGTCTCCCTGTAGCCTCAGCTGTCCTGGAACTCACTATGTAGCCCAGGCTGGCCTTGAACTCACAGAGATCTGCCTGCCTCTGCCTCTCGGGTGCTGGGATAAATGGTATGTGCCACCGCGCCCGTTTTTTTTTTTTTTTTTTTTTTAAGTTATTTGATCTTGTATTTCCCACAGAACAATTTGATAGCAGAAGCAGCTGTTTGGTGCTGTATATTATTAATTCAATGGGCCTACCTGCTTAAGACACTGTAAAAGCTGATTCGTTGTGGTTAATACCTAGATTACTGACTGGCATTGCTTTGTAAATGTAACTTTTTTTTTTTTTTTTTTTTTTTTTTTTTTGTCTTTTTGGAGACAGGGTCTCCCTGTAGCCCCAGCTGACCTGGAACTCAAGTAGGTCCACCTGCCTCTGAGTGCTGGGACAAAAGGCGTGTGCCACCACACCTGGCTGTGAAAGACTTTTCAGTGTACAATGCAGTATATTTCCAGGTTGTGTAAACATTGCCACTAAGGTTGTTAGGCTTATCAGGCATTTATTCACTGAACCATCTCATCCCAAATGACCTGTTTATTTATATTTTTACTTTTTCGTAAAATTTTTATTGAATTTTTGTGTATTTCATACAAAGCATCTATTTGTTTTTGGTCTTTTTGAGACAGTGTTTCCCTGGGCTGTAATTCACCAGGTAGACCAGGCTGGCCTTGAATGCACAGAGATCTGCCTGCCTCTGCCTCCCAAGTGCTGGGACTAAAGGTGTGTGCCACCACACCTGGACAACAAAAATTTTAAGAACAATTATTTGCCAGTACAAATTAGCTTACTGTGAAAATGGATAGCTTCTGTTAAAATTAGAATCTTTCCTAACTTATTCCTTTCTAAAAAAAAATTTGCATAGTGATGTGGTTCAGAGATAGAGTGCTTGTCTAATAAGCATAAGGCTCTGGGTTTAATCCCTAACATCTCAAAAAGAAGAACAATGAATCTTACTGAATCTGCATGATCTTAATTTTGAATGATCAACCGAAATGACATGCTTTTTAGAACTTGGTGATTTTGATGATGGTATTGAGAACTGAACACTAGGCCTCGAGAGTGTTAGGCATGCAGTCTGTCCAAATTGTCTTTGAGAATGTCACTATAACCTAATAAACCTCTCATACCTGTCTCTAGGTTTATCGAACGAATCAGTGTGCTGGGGAGTTTGTGATTACATTTCCAAGAGCCTACCACAGTGGTTTTAACCAAGGATTCAATTTTGCTGAGGCTGTTAACTTCTGCACTGTTGATTGGGTATGTAATTATGGATTAGTGAACTTCTTCATATTTTACCATTTTTGTGTGAAAATGGCATATAATGCTTCTCTAAAAAATAATTTTTGTGCCAGGAGTGGTGGTGCACACCTTTAATCCCAGCACTCAGGAGGCAGAAGCAGGCGAATCTCTGTGAGTTCAAGGCCAGCCTGGTCTACATAGTGAGTTTTCCAGGCAGCTGGGCCTACAGGGAGACCCTGTCTCAAAAAGACAAAAAAAAAAAAAATTTTTTTTTGCTAAGTTTTTGTGCATTTCATACAATAATGCTTAATCAAATTTAGACACCCCCCCCATCCATACCCTTCCATATCCCCACCCCCTCTCCTGGACTTTATGCATTCTGTTATATATGTTAAGTCCTTTCAGTCAAGCATTTGTACCCACATATCCTTTGGTGCAAGTTTATCCACTGGTGTCTAGTCAGCCAATCTAGAGCGCTTCCTTTGTCTGATTGAGTTAACATGGGTCTTTGTGCATGATGCCACCATTGTCAAAAGTTCACATGAGCAAGCTTCCAGTGACCTGAAAGCCTCCATTTCTCCGGGCTGGCCTTGAACTCACAGAGATCCTCCTACCTCTGCCTCCAGAGTGCTGAGATTAAAGGCGTGTGCCACTACAATCTAAGTCTACTGATTTTAATAAGACTGAAGCTTATTGTTAACTGGTAACAAATAACTATAGTCTGAAAACTTAGTACAGACTGATTTAATTATCCACAGTACAACAGTTGAATGGCATGTTTAGTTTCAGTTCATTGTAGAGTTGAATTTTGTTACAGAGTTGTCAAGGTTTTGTGCAATAGTAAATCTAGTGAATTGCTGGAGTGCATTCCTGTTTGCTTTAAGATAGGGCCTTTTTGAAATCCTCTAATTCTCATCTAGCTGTAGATGGCCTTGAATTCCAGATCCTCCTGACTCTGTCTCCCAAATGCTGGGATTATTAGACATGTGCCTTTGCACTCAGCTCATCTAGTGCTTTTCTTCACAAATAGTTTAACTCTTTCCATCCATCATGTAATTTTTGGAGTGATAGTTAGTCCCAGTGGTAAGTAGAGTTTACCAGTTTAGTGCAAATATATAAATTTATGTTTCCAAATAGATACCATATTACATTTATTCATTGTCATTACAGCACTTTTCAATTAAGATACCAAATGTGTCAGATCTTTGGAACACAAAGATAAATAGATCCTGGGCCTACTCTTTAGAGTCTAGTGTTGGGGTTGCTAAATGGTAGTTGTTTTGACCCAGACTGTAATATTGGTAATGTGATAACACAAGTCAGAAGTTTTTGGAAATAGAAAAAAAGATGAATATGTCATGTATTCCCTTCTGTGCTTTGACACAGCTTCCATTGGGCAGACAATGTGTCGAACATTATCGCTTGCTACACCGTTACTGTGTCTTTTCCCACGATGAAATGATCTGTAAAATGGCTTCCAAAGCTGATGTATTAGATGTTGTAGTGGCTTCCACTGTTCAGAAGGACATGGCCATTATGATTGAGGATGAAAAAGCTTTAAGGGAAACCGTACGTAAATTGGTAAGGTTTCTGGAAATGTAATTGCATGTTGTTGAATATAATTTACTAAGTTCTTAGTTATTTTAATGCCATTTTGGTTTTGCTTATTGAATTTTATTTCTGTAAAAACCATTCTAATAGATATGTAGTAATGTTTCATTATCATTTTTGTTTGTATTGACTATCCTGTTATGTACTTATTTTTGCCCTTTGTATCACTGTGATAAAGTGTTCAAATAGTCTGTCAGTTTTATTAGTGTATTTATTTTTAAAGTATATTATTGCTGAGCATGGTGGCGCATACCTTTAATCCCAGCACTTAAGAGGCAGAGGCAGGCGGATCTCATGAGTTCAAGGCCAGCTGAGGCTACTGGGAGACCCTGTCTCAAAAAGACCAAAAAAAAAAAAAAGTGTATTATTGCAGTAATGCTCTATATTCTCATTCAG